ATAAATTCTATCTTAATATTCACATTTTGAGGATAAGAACCTTATTTTCACTTTTATACTTACAACTCCTAATTGAGCTCCTATATAGTAGTTACATCCCTGTATATTTAATGAAGAAATGTAACAAAAGTAGCAAAAGCATTTAGCAAGGTTTAAGTCCCATGAATAAAATGGGTATCATGATTAGAAAACATTTTAGCTTACGTTTATAGTAATTTTATTTCCTTTACAATTTATCTTACATTTTATTTCTTCTTTTAAGTGATTAGTATAATGATGGGCTCTGAGATTTTCAGGTTCCAAGTTACATTCCTTTGAGTGCAGTTTGTGTGAATCAGCCCAGGTGGGACATGGTAGTTTTTTTTTTTTTAAGATTTTTAAATTTTATTTATTCATGAGAGATACAGAGCGAGAGAGAGAGAGAGAGGCAGAGACACAGGCAGAGGGAGAAGCAGACTCCATGCAGGGAGCCCGATGCGGGACTCCATCCCCGATCTCCAGGATCACACCATGGGCTGCAGGCGGCGCTAAACCGCTGCGCCACTGGGGCTGCCCGTGACATGGTAGTTTTGGATAGTTTGCTGTTAACTAAGCAAAGATTGCGTATGTATGGAGGAGCTTTCACAGAAATGGCTGTCCAGAAATTGGTAACTGTTTGAAAGTAGAGAACAATAAAATGAGGTGCTTGGAAGAATAAACTTAGGTATTGGATAGTAAGTTAGTTTATTTTGGTTAAGAGAAGATACAGAGCATTTTTACGGTACTTAGAGTGTACTTGATTTCACATTTGGTGAAAATGGATGAAATAATACCCTTTGTCAGAGGGTTACCGACTATTAAAAATTTGGTTTTTGTCCTCAGTCAACAATGAGGAAGAAAAATTTTTCCCCCTCTAACATGTTTTAATCTTGCTTTTTATCTTTATCCCTTGCTTTAAGAAGCAGTAGATGATGACAGGAACTGATTAGAAAATCCTGGCTAGTTTAAAAAAAGTTGAAATTTTATTATTTATTTATTTTAAATTTTTAAAATTTATTTATTTATTTTTAAAAGATTTCATTTATTTATTCATGAGAGACAGAGAGAGGCAGAGACACAGGCAGAGGGAGAAGCAGGCTCCACGCAAAGAGCCCGATGTGGGACTTGATCCCGGGACTCCAGGATCATGCCCCGGCCCAAAGGCAGGTGCTAAACCACTGAGCCACCCAGGGATCCCTACATTTTTAAAATTTAAATTCAATTTGCTAGCATATAGTGTAATACCCAGTGCTTATGTCATCGTATAAAAGTTAAAATTTTATTTATTTTTATTTTTAAAAATATTTATTTATTCATGACACACACACACACACAGAGGGCAGAGACACAGGCAGAGGGAGAAGGAGGCTTCATGCAGGGAGCCCGACATGGAACTCGATCCTGGGTCTCCAGGATTAGGCCCTGGGCTGAAGGTGGCACTAAACCGTTGAGCCACCCAGGCTGCCCAAAGTTAAAATTTTAAATGAAAAAATTAGATGCTTCACTAACGACAAGTAGTTTGAAGTATTTATCCTCTGGTGAGGATCAGGTAGGTGGCTCAATTTCCAGATAGTTTGGCCACAAGCATGCAGTAAAGGGCTGGGCTTTATAACCCCTTGGAAAGACAGGCAGGCAAATTATCACATAAGGTAGGTGGTGCTCATTGGGTAACTAAAAGAAAAATTCTTATATTTATTTGACAGAGAGTGTGCGAAAGTGTGTGCCTACAAGCAGGGGGAGTGGCTGAGGGGGAAGGATAAGCAGACTCCCTGCTGAGTAGGGAGCTGGATGTGGGGATCCATCCCAGGACCCTGGGATCATGACCTGAGCCAAAGTCAGATGCCCAACTGACTGAGCCACCCAGGTGCCCCTCATTGGGTAATTTTAGTCTCTAAGAAAGTCTGGTCACATCTTGAAAAGATCCAGTTGTTGAGCCTCAGTTCACTGCTCTGGGACTTTGCAGCTTTGTTCTTAACTTTTCTATGGCATAGATGTCTCATATGCAGAGTGAGAATGATAGTACCTATGTCAACTGTATTGTATAATTGAAATTTGCTGAGAGAGTAGCACTTAATGTTTTCACTGAAAAAAGGAAGGGTGAATATGTGGGGTGATGGATATGTTCTTTGATTCCATGGCAAGAGTCTTTTCATAAATTAGAGGTTTATTAAATCATTACATTGTACACTACAAATATTTTACAATTTTGTCAATTATACTTCAATAAAGCTAAAACAATAGTATCTACTTCAGAGGTTGTTTTGATGATTAAAGCAGTTAATTTATAGGCAGTGCTTAAAATAATATCTAGTGCATAGTAGGCTCCATGTAAGTATTAGCTGCTAGAATATTTGTTAAATTAAGGTTGTTATTAATATACTTTTGGTTACTTTCAAAGAAGTCCTAGAAGACCTAATTGAAAATAGGTCAAATAAGAAAAATTTAGTGTTGCACATGAAAACAACTCTGGAATGGGGCTCTTCAATCTTCTGAGTCCTGACATGAAGAACATTAAATTTTTCCCCCTTTTTCTGTTTTGCCAGTTTTAGGATATTGACTTGTCTTTTTTTTTTTTTTTAAAGATTTTATTTATTTATTCATGAGAGATACAGAGAGAGGCAGAGACATAGGCAGAGGGAGAAGCAGGCTCCATGCAAGGAGCCCAGTGTGGGACTCGAACCCAGGAACCTGGGATCATGCCCTGAGCCAAAGGGAGACGCTCAACCACTGAGCCACCCAGGCATCCCAGGATATTGACTTGTTTTAAAGTGACTGTCCTCATGACTCAAAAAAAATTTTTTTTTAAGATTTTCTTTATTCATGAGAGACACAGAGAGAAGGCAGAGCCATAGGCAGGCTTCTTGCAGGGAGCCCGGTGTGGGACTTGAGCCTGGGACTCCAGGATCACCCCCTGAGCCAAAGGCAGATGCTCAACTGCTGAGCCACTCAGGCATCCCATAACCCAGATTTTAAGTGAAGTTTTGTTTTATCCAGATGAGCTTCTCTCCACGCTGAAAGGATCCTATTTTGTATATCTTTTTTTTTAGATGAAAAATCTTTCTCAAATGTTCCTCCAGATGACTTCTCACATCTTATTGACTAGTATTAGTGTGGAACATCAATTCCAAAAAACAGCCACTGGAAGAGCCATTGAGTTGACTTGGAATCAAGCTTAACCGTCTCTGGGCAGGGAACCAGCATCTACTGAAGTACTTGTTACTTATCTGGAGAAAACTGTGGTTTTTCTTAGCAAGGGCAAAAGAAAGAAATGGCTGTTGCACAGGAGGTTAATAATGTATGCCTAGGTATTGTTTACTAATTAAGGTCAGAAGTGCCCCAAGATGAGAGCCTAGGATGAAGTGTCCAAATGTGATTTTACCCCCCAGCCTCTCCCCTCCTACCCTGGGGAATATGGAGGGATTGACTGGAGAATTAGGATGAGGGTAGGAGCCATGCAGGCCCACTCTTCTATTTGGACTTTATTTTCCTTATTTTAATTTTTTTTCAACCTCAGCATCAGAGTGCAGAATTGACTCCCAATCCACCTTAGCCTAGTGGGGAGCACAAAAAATATCAGCACAAGCTAGAGCTATAGTGTTTGCCTTACCTCTTCCTGTAGAGTTTTAACTTCCCTATTTGAAATAAAAGTCTATCTAGTTGTCCAAATATGTTTATCTCCTTTTTTTTTTGAGATTTTATTTATTAGATCATGAGCAGTGGGGGAGGGCTGAGGGAGAAGCAGATTCCTGGTGAGCAGGGAGCCTGATGTAGGACTTGATATGAGGACCCATTATCATGACCTGAGCTGAAGGCCTTTGCTGAGCCACCCAGGTGCCCATTATCTCCTGTTTCTTATCCTCCATATTGTATCCACAAAAGACCCTAAAGAATACAACATTCCAATTAATTATGCCCCCCCCGTTTTTTTTTTTAATTTATCTACAATAGTCACACAGAGAGAGAGGCAGAGACACAGGCAGAGGGAGAAGCAGGCTCCATGCACCGGGAGCCTGACATGGGATTCGACCCCAGGTCTCCAGGATTGCGCCCTGGGCCAAAGGCAGGCCCCAAACCGCTGCGCCACCCAGGGATCCCATTTTTTTTTTAATTTAATTATGCCTTTTGATATTATTTAGGTGTATTTTTTTTTATTAAGAAAAAGTTTTTTTTTTTCAAAATCATCTGTTTATTTTTACATTTTTTAAAATTTAAATTAAATTTGCCAACATATAGTATAACACCCAGTGCTCATCCCATCAAGTGCCCCTCCTCAGTGCCTGTGAACCAGTTATTAGGAAAAAATGTTAAAGATTATCTCAGGTTATTGAAGATGGTGACAGTTGAGAACCAAACTATTCATATAATTCATTTACTTCCTCTATGTCCCCCAATTGTTGAGTGACATTATCAGAGGAAAAAAGATTAAATTTCTTGGGATAATTTTTTTTTGTCTCTCTGGGGTAAATAATTCAAGAAATTTGAAATATTCTCATGATTTTTGTAGAAGTCCCTGGCCACAAATCCAGTGTGGGAAAGTCAGAAATGAACAAAATTCTGAGTTTATAGTTTAAAACATTAAAAGTAAAAATGAAATTACCTAAAATCTTACCTTTGGATACTTTGTTTTTTACTTTTCACCTTCCATATCTTTTTATTTTTTAATTATTTATTTATTTTTCTAAGATTTTATTTTTAAGCAATCTCTGTACCCAACATGGGGTTCAAACCCATAACCCTGAGGTCAAGTCATATGCTGCACGGACTGAGCCTTCAGGTGCCCCCTTAGATAGTGCAATGTCATTCATGTACTATTCACATATTAATTTTGCTTAGCATATGTGTTATTTTCCTAAACAGATTTGTATATTTTCCATCACAATTTTTATTCACTATATTTTATGTTGATATGTAGTAGTTCAGTTATTTTCCCAATACTGACAAATTTTCAAGTCTAACTTGGAAATTTTTTTTGATCTTTTCAGAAGCAAGAGAAAAAGAAGAGGAAATGAACAGAGAGAAAGAATTAAGAAGACAAAATGAAGATATTGAACCAACATCTTCAGGCGCACATGTAGTCAGAGATTGCTCTAAATCATCATCCAGGTGCTTGACTTTCTCAAAAAGATTCTTTTAAACTGTCATTTCCATTTAGGTGTTTAGTTTTAGATAATTGAAATTGGTAGTTATTGCAAAGAAAAAAGGAGAGGATAATGACTGATTTTTTTTCTAAGAAACTTAATTTTCTTTTTAAAGATCTCTAGTTCTAATTAGAGGTCAGCAAGTAAGCACTATCAGATTTTAGTTTTCTCAGAGATAAAAAGCTAACAGCAGCTTCTTTTGTTGGTCACCACAATTACTATGCATTGGCACTATGGGAAGCCATCTTTAGTGGTCCTAGGAAGGGACACGGTGACGTTTTTACTTGGAGGGAGAGAGCCCATAATTAAAAAGAATTTTCTTGAAATTTTATAAACAATGTACATTTTTAAATAAATAAGAAAATATACCTTAGTTAAGGACTTTTGAGGCCCTTTTGCCAGTGGCTTTCATATATTCGAAAAAAATAACAGTAAAATATACAGGCAGGAGAAAACTGCTAAATGACTTTTCATTGAGGTATCTTGAAGTTTTGTAATTTTTGCATAATTTTAATTGCCTTAAGGCTATGCATTTTTTGTGTGTGATTTTGATGTCTTTAAAATAAATAAATGATTATTTCTTTCTCCACTTGAATTTGGACCCATAATTTATATGTATATTGATAAACTTACTAGATTTGATATTTTTTTCTCATTCTCTGGCTTCTTAAAAAATCTTACTTATATCATATTTCATTGCACTAACATTTTTTCATGTGTTTGGTCATATTTTAATGTTTATAAGATCTATTTCTTAAGGAGATCCTTGGGTGGCTCGGCGGTTTAGTGCCCACCTTCAACCCAGGGCATAATCCTTGAGTCTTGGGGTCGAGTCCCGCATCGGGCTCCCTGCATGGAGCTTGCTTCTCCTTCTGCCTGTGTCTCTGCCTCTCTCTCTGTGTCTCTCATGAATAAATAAATAAAATTAAAAAAAAAAAAAGATCTATTTCTTAGGCAATTATTTTCCCTCACATAGGAGATTATTATGCAATTCTGTTTTTCTAGATTTAATAAAAATTACTTTAATATTTTATTTTATTTTATTTTATTTTTATTTTTTTTTAGATTTTGTTTATTTATTCATAGAGACACAGAGAGAGAAAGAGAGACAAAGACAGAAGCAGGCTCCATGCAGAAAGCCTGACGGACTCGATCCAGGGTCTCCAGGATCACGCCCTGGGCTGCAGGCAGCGCTAAACCGATGCGCCACCAGGGCTGCCCTACTTTAATATTTTAAATGATAAATTATTATGAAATATTTAAGACTTTCAAAAGGATAATAAAGGACAGTACTCATTAGACAACTTAAGAAGTAAACTTTTACAGTGAACACTTCCTAGAACTGCCTTCCATTGTGTCATCCTCCCTTTTTTGCAGAAGTAACCAATTTTCTAAATGTAAATTTTTTTCACGTATCTCTTTATAATGTTATGATGTATTTCTGTATCCCTGAGACATATATAATATTATTTTGTATATATAAGACCTTTCTCTGGGATCCCTGGGTGGCGCAGCAGTTTGGCGCCTGCCTTTGGCCCGGGGCGTGATCCTGGAGACCCGGGATCGAATCCCACGTCGGGCTCCCGGTGCATGGAGCCTGCTTCTCCCTCTGCCTGTGTCTCTGCCTCTCTCTCTCTCTCTCTCTCTGTGACTATCATAAATAAAATAAAAAAAAAATTAAAAAAAAAAAAGACCTTTCTCTTTAAATGTCTAGTATAGCACTTAGTGTATTATATTCTATCATGTACTGTTCTTGTATAAGACTATGGACACTGAAGGTCAGGAATGTTATTCCCTTAATTGAACAAAAAGTTTTTGTTACAAAGTATGTCATACATATAAAACTTTAGATATCCTACATTTAAAGCAAACAGCGGATTAAATACCAATAGTGTAGGGCTTTACCAGTGTGAAGTCGTCTCTCTGCTCGTATTTCTCTCCTCCAGTTTGTTTATCTTTCCTTCTTCTTTTTGATAGTTTTTTTTTAGATATAAGTGTATTCCTAAATAATGTTATTTTATATGATTTCTTATTTTATATTGAAGCTGTTAATGCTGTTGTGAGTGTACTTAAAAAAAATCTTTTTTAAATTCAAGATTTCTTGGGGGGGTGGGAGAAGGAGAAGCACAGGAAGAGGTAGAGAGTGAATCCTAAGCAGGCCCCATGCCCAGCATGGAACTGACAGTGGGGCTCGATCTCATGACCCTGAGATCATGACCTGAGTTGAAATCAAGAGTCGGGCATTTTACTGACTGAGCCGCCTAAATGCTCCCAAAATATCTTTTTTTTTTTTTTTTAAAGTAGGCTCTACACACAATGTAGGAATTGAACTTGGGACCCTGAGAGCAAGACTTGAGCAGAGATCAAGAGTCAGATGCTTATCCGACTGAATCACCCAGGTGCCCCACAGCAAGATATTTTTGAGATTCATTCACGTTGGCAAATGAGACTATAGTTCATTTATATTCAGTGCAGTTTGGTTTTCCTTTTAGGAATATACTGTAATTTTTCTAATTTCTAATCAATTTAGGGCTTTTTTCTATATTATCATAAAATACATTTTTAGTGACTGCCTTGTAGCCATCCTGTTTTTTGTTTCTTCATAAGACTTCATATGTTTAATAGAGAGGGAGAGAGAGAGGGTATGTGTGTGGTGAACAGTGGTGAGGAGCAGAGGCAGAGAGAGAATCTCAAGCCGACTTCTTGCTGAGCATGGAGCCCAATGCAGACTCCATCTCATGACCCTGAGATCATGACCTGAGTGGAAACAAGAGTCAGATGCTTAACTGACTGAGCCACTTAGGCACCCCATCATCCTCTGTCTTATATGCACCAAAGCTTCCCTTCCTTTCTTCCTTCTTCCCTCCCTCCCTTCCTTTCATAGAAGTTTATTGAATACATTGCAAGGGAACAGTAGGCACGGCAGTGATGGAGAGACTGCTGTACAGAAATTTCATTAGATGATATATCTAGTATTAGACTTGTTAGGTCTTTGAGTTAAGTACATATTTATCTTTATGAGGTTTGGCTCAATTATTATTTTCTAAAGACTTTATATCCATTTACATTACCACCAGCGGAGTGCAAGAAGTTCTGTTGCTCCACATGCTTGCCAACACCCATTATTATTACACATTTGTATATTTGCCAATCTGATTGTTGTGAAGTGATACCCTTATGGTGTTCATTTGCATTTTGCTGGTAACCAATGTAGTTGTGCATCATTTTTAAAAAGATTTTTTGTAATATATTTTTTCTTCTGCAGGATTTTCTACTGGGTTGCTTGATGTTTATTACTAATTTTTATTTTTCAGTTGTGTTCTTTAAATAGTTTCAAATTCTAATGTAATCTGGTTTATTAACCTTTTTTGTGATGTTTTTGTGTGTTTTTTTTTAAGATTTGTTTATTTGAGAGAGATATTTGAGACAGAGTCAGTGTGCACTGGGGAGAGGGGCAAAGAGAGAGGGAGAGAAGCAAACCCCTTGCTAAGCTTGGAGTCTGACACCCGACATAGGGCTTGATCCCATGACCCTGAGATCACCACCTTAGCTGAAATCAAGAGTCAAACACCCAACCGATTGAACCACCCAGGCACCCCTGTGGTGTTTTTGTGTTTTAAGAAATGAGTCCTTACTCTGAGATCATAAAATAACTTCCTGTTTTTTTTTTTTAAGATTTATTGGGGTGCCTGAGAGGCTCAGTTGATTAAGCGTCTGCCTTGGGCTCGGGTCAAGATCCCCAGGTCTTGGGCTCCAGCCCTGCGTTGGACACTCTGCTCAGTGGAGAGTCTGCTTCTTCTCCCTCTGACCTTCCCTGCTGCTTGTGTTCTTGTGTGCATACTTGCTCTCTCCCAAATCAATAAATAAAAAGTCTTTTATCCCAGAGAAGAAACAGTCACATGTCTTACCTCCTGTCCTAGTCCCAGAGCCTGTAAAGGTGAACCCACTGGGGCTGGCTGGGGGAAAGGAGGAAGCTTGCTCCAGAAGGAACTGTCTGAGGGATCATAAGGGATTTCTCTAAATATGGGAAAAGGGAATAGATCATTTGGTGAAGTCAATTGTACATACCTTTTTGTAGGTCTAAAAAAAGAACAAAGCTTTTATATAACAGGAATCCAGTTCTTCAGGGGTACCAAGAGGAAAATTTTTTTTAAAGGTTTTTATTTATTTATTCATGAGAGACACACACAGAGAGAGGGGCAGAGACGGGCAGAGAGAGAGAGGAAGAAGCAGGCTCCATGCAGGGAGCCTGATGCAGGAATCAATCCCAGAACTCCAGGATCATGCCCTGGGCCAAAGGCAGGCACTAAACTGCTGAGCCACCCAGGGGTCCCCCCAAAAGGAAATTTTTAAGTCATTTTTGGTGCAACCTAGCTGGAAATTAGCATGTAATTGTTCGAGCCTTGCTGAATAAAAGTTTAACCTTCAAAAAACAATCTTTTGATAAAAGATTGTATTTATTTATTTGAGAGAGAGAGAGTATGTGCATGCACTAACTGGGGGAAGGGTCTAAGGGAGAGGGAGAGGCAGACACCCCACTGAACAGGGTACCCAATGTGAGGCTGGAACCCAGGACCCTGGGATCTTGACCCGAGCCCAAGGCAGATGCTTAATCGACTGAACAACCTGGGCACCTCAGCTTCCTATGTATTTTTTCCTGAAGTTTTCAAGTTTTGTTTTTCATATTTAGGTTTTTAATTAATGTAGAATTGCTTTTTGTGGATAATGGTGAAGTTGTCATCCAGTTTTATTTTTCCTTCATATGGATAATCAATTTTCCCAGCCTCTTTATTTTTAATTTTTGAAACATTTAATAGACTTTATTTATTTTTAAAAAAGATTTATTTACTTATTCATGAGAGACACAGACTGAGAGAGAGAAAGGCAGAGACCCAGGCAGAGGGAGAAGTAGGCTTCTCGCAGGGAGCCCGATGTGGAACTTGATCCCGGATCCCGGGATCATGACCTGAGTCGAAGGCAGCACCCAACTGCTGAGCCACGCAGGTGTCCCAATGGACTTTATTTTTTAAATGAGTTTTAGGCTCATAGCAACATTGAATAGAGGTGCAGAGGTTTTTTTCCATATACCCCTTGTTCTCCTATATTCACAGCCTCCCCCATCATCAACATCCTCCACCAGAGTGGTATATTTGTTACAATCCATGAACCTGTGCTGACGTCATCACGAAGAATCCATAGTTTTCATGAGGGTTTGCTCTTTGATAACTATACATTCTGTAGGATAAGTATGTACTGACAGGTAGCCATCATTATTGTATCAATCAGAGTAGTTTCAGTGCCATAAACATCCTCTGTGCTCTATCTACTTTTTCTTGCCTCCTCCTGACTCCTTAACAACCACTGACATTTCAAATTTTTGTTGAAGTATTTTATACCCATTATAAAATCAAACATTATAAAACCTTGTTTTTCCCTATTCATAATTTCTTGTTTCTCAGAGAAAACTATTTAAATTTTTTTGTTTTTCATTTTTAATTTACCTTCATATTTCTCAATTGTAACCTTCATGTCTGGCTTCTTTCACTTTGCAAGATATTTTCCAGGTTTGTGTTGTATTAGAACGTCATTCCTTTAAACAGCTGAATAGTATTCCATTGTATATAAACATCACAATTTGTTTATCCATTTGTTCGTTGAGGAACATATAGATTGTTCTCACCTTTTGAGTACTCTCAATGTAATGAACATTAGTGTGCAAATATATGTTTTTGAGTGTTTAATTCTTTTGAGTATAAGCCTAGAAGTGGAATTTATGAGTCATAAGGTAGTTTTATGTTTATCTTTCTTTTTAAGTAATTGCCAAACTGTTCCACAGTGATTGCACCATTTTACATTCCTATCAACAATGTATGAGGATTCCAGTTTTTCCACATTCTTGCCATTATAGTTATTTTCCATTTTATTCTGTTTTTATTGTAATCATTCTAGTAGGTGTGAAGTGGTATCTCATTGCAGCTTTGATTTTCGTTTCCCCTAATATCTAATGATGTCGAGCATCTTTTGATGTGCTTATTGGCCATTTGCATATAGTCTTTGAAGAAATAATGAAGTTAAGTAACCATTTTTATTTATTTTTTTTAAGATTTATTTATTTATGAGAGACACACAGAGAAAGAGAGAGAGAGGCAGAGACATAGGCAGAGGGAGAAGCGGGCTCCTCACAGGGAGCCTGATGTGGGACTCGATCCCAGATCCTGGGATCATGACCTGGGCCGAAGGCAGGCGCCCAACCGCTGAGCCACCCAGGCATCCCTGTAACCATTTTTAAATTGGATTATTTGCCTTTCTGTTGTTGAATTATGAGTTTTTCATATATTCTGCTTATTAAACTCTGTATATGATTTGCAGATATTTTCTTCCATTCCATAGGTTATCTTTTCACTTATTAAAATATATTTTTTAAAATAAACTCTATGCCACATGTGGGGCTTGAACTCACATTCTCTACCAACTGAGTCAGCCAGCACCCCTGTCTTTTCACTTTAATAATTTACTTTGATGCATTAGAGTTTTAAATTTCAATGAAGTCCAACTTACATATTTTTTCTTTTTGTTGCTTATGCCTTTGGTATTGTATCTAAGAATCCATTGCCAAAGTATAGATCATGAAGATCTCCCCTCTTTTAAGAGTTTTATGGTTTTAGCTCTTATATTTTGGTCATTGATTCATTTTGGGTTAATTTTGCATGTGGTGTGAAGTAGGGGTCCAACTTTTTTTTTTCTTGTCATGGCTTTTGGCTTATCTTGGTGATACCAATATGTAATGTAAGGTACATTGCAGCTTAGTTTTCTATTTTATTTTATGGATGTTCAGCAGTCATTACATGGTGATCATTTTCTTCACTATCTTTAGATGCATGCTTGTTATATCTAAATTATTTCTAATGATAATTTTAATTTGGTTCTGGAATTCTGCTCTGTTGGCTGTATTTCATTCAGATTTACTTATTTACTTATTTATTTGTTTGTTTGTTTTAGGGGACCCAGGCATCTCCTATAATTACATATTTAATGCTTAGCTAAGCTCTCTTTTAAAAAGTCAGCTGAGTGGTGCTTGCTTGGGTGGCTCAGCTGGTTAAGCATCTGCCCTTGGCTTACGTTGTGATCCTAGGTCTTCGAATTGGGCCCCATGTTGGGCTCCTTGCTCAGCGAGAAGTCTGCTTGTTCCTCCCTCTGCCATTCCCCCTCCTTGTGTTTCTCTTTCTTTATCTCTCACTCTAATAAAATCTTTAAAAAAAGTCACCTGAGAAAAATATTAGGTTTTTGACTCCTCAGATACATATTATTTCTTAGGTTCATAACTTGGTACCCCGTTGAATTAAGGTATATTTTAAATGTGGAATGGTTCTGTTTTCTGTCACATTTTTAGACATAATTTAATGGACTTTGTTTTTCAGAAATTGAAAATCTGTTAAAAATTATTTTTTTTTGTCTTGTGTACATTAGAAGCAGGAAGACAGAAGTGAAACTAGAAGCTGCATAGAAGCTGATACATTCCATTCAGTTTCATGTCAGTATTAGGACTATATAGTCAGCCATGAAATCAGTATGGATTCATTTAGTTCTCAGTTCAGTGCTTCTTTCTGAACGAGTTAACTCAGTTAAAGCATAGGTGCTAAGGATTAATAGTTTAGAGCTGTCTGTGCCCTCAATAATTTTGCATTCAGAAAGTCTGTGAAAATCTGTGATTTTTAAACTAGTATAGCTAGAATTTGTGACTTAATGATGAGAAAATTTGGAGTGTGACTAGAATAAAAATCTACTCAGTCATTCAGCTGTTAGTTATTGAGTATCTGTTGTGGAGTAGGCACTGCTTTAGGCATTGGGGCTATAGCAATTAACAAGTCAAATGAGATTTGTGAGCTCCTATTGTTGTGGGGTATTTGAGGAGACAGATAACAGATTATAAACAACTACATAACCAATCAAATAAGATAATTTAGGTATGTGATAAAGATAATCGAAGTAAGATAATGTAAGATAATGAAGAAAATGGTGACTGATAGCAGTGTGTTCCATAAAGTTGAGAAAGGGGGCATATAAATCCTCTTTGAGGAGGTGATATTTGATGAGATCTGAATGAACAAAAAGGCCATTTAAAAATCCATTCCTGCAGAGGGGACTTGCAAGTGCAAAGACCCTCATGCTGGACCAACCTTAACCTCTTCAGTTTGAAAGAAGGCCTGTGGGGCTGGAGCCCAGGGAGCTAAACCATTGCAAAAACAAAGAGAAAACTCTCTTTGTGAAGCTTTGCCTGCTCTAAAGGTAGGATATATGGACAACATGCATGTATGCATTTCCTTTGATATATTGAACTTAGATGAAAATAAAAAAGAAAAATTTCATTTTTTCTTCATTAGATATTGATTGCCTGTTATATGTTGGGTATCATTTAGATAAGGTGTTAGAGACAGCAATGAACACAACAGATTTCTGCTTTCATAGAGTTTACATACTAGACATGTTTTATTTTTTAGTTTTTTATTTATTTGAGAGAGAGAGAGAGAGCATGAGATGGGGGAGAGTCAGAGGGAGAAACAGACTCCCCGCTGAATGGGGAGTCCAATTCAGGATTTGATCCTGGAACTTGGGATCATAACCTGAGTTGAAGACAGATGTTTAACCCACTGAACCACCCGGGTGCCCCATACTAGAAATATTTTAGTAGAGGGCAGTATTACTTTGAATGTTATAAAATATTTGATAGAATTGATATAATTAGGAATGTAATTCTCAACCCTTTGGGATGCGGTAGGAGGTGGAGGTGGAGGTGGTGACTTTCAGAATGTCTAGAGGTGTGTAATAAAGACCTCAATGAAAGTGTGTAACAGTTCTCAAGTGTGCTGGGTGAAAAAACAGTTGAGAATCAGTGGGATACTCTCTAGAGTAAGATAGTTATAGAATCCAGGGTTGCTACATATGACATTTTAGCAACTCCGCAAACTTGAATTAACAAATAATTTGTATTTCAGAAAATATGTTGAAATGTTTTCTCACACAACTGGCTTTATTTGCTTCTTTGGTAAACAGTAATTGGATTCAGTTATAGTAAAGAGAGACATTGGTCATCTTGGTGGTTTTCTTTCTTATGGATGTAGTATTTTGTAGTTTTTCTTCCATATTCCAGTTGTTCTGCTGGCTCTTTATGAGTTAGGATAGGATGACCTAATGGGAACTTTAATTTACATTTAGGTTAAGATAAGTAGATAAAAGAAACTTTTTACTTTAAGATAAAATAGTATCTGAGTTAGACATTTAATGCTTGAATCACAGATTTAACAAGTTACACATTAGTTAATTAATTTAAATAAAAACACAGTTGTTAGAAGGCAAAAAGCAGGGTTTCCTGGGAATTTAGTATTATCTCTGGAGTGTATTCTTTGTTGCAGCAGAGGCAAAGAGTTTATGTTTCTGTATTTTCAGGGATACAAGCAGCAGTGAGAGTGAAGAGAGTTCTGGTTCTTCTGATGATGAGTTAATTGGCCCTCCTTTACCTCTTAAAATGATGGAGGAACCAAGTAATCATATCGAGGAAGATATCCTCGGTCCTTTACCTCCACCTCTTTATGAAGAAGTAGAAGAAGATGATGATGATGATGGTGATTCAGAGGAGGAGGAGGTAAGTACTTCATTAGAGTAGTGTAGGGGTCAGTTTCCTGCTGTTATTTATGATTGAGAGCAAATAAAAAACAGTTTTGAGTTTACTACTGATAGCCCTTGTTGAAAGTACTCTAAAGGATGTACTTGAGGAATAGGGAAATATAACTCTGAAATAATAAATGGACAAGAGGAAGCAGAGAGTTAAAAAAAAGGGGAGTTAATTAATAAACATTTTGTTAAATCTATATAAGCATGTAGTGTAAATAATGGTAATGAATAATTTTAGGCTTTTTCTTTTTTTAAAAAAAATTTTTGTTTATTTTTGATAGTCACACACAGAGAGAGAGAGAGGCAGAGACATAGGCAGAGGGAGAAGCAGGCTCCATGCACCGGGAGCCCGACGTGGGATTCGATCCCGGGTCCCCAGGATCGCGCCCTGGGCCAAAGGCAGGCGCTAAACCGCTGCGCCACCCAGGGATTCCAAATAATTTTAGGCTTTGTCTTAATAAGATTTTATCTATTTGAGAGAAAGAAGGAGAGAGAACATGCATGAGTGGGGAGAGGGGCAGAGGGAGAAGCAGACTCCCCGCTGAGCAGGGAGCCCCTCTTGGGGCTGAGTCCCAGGACCCTGTGATCATGACCTGAGTCAAAGGCAGCCCTTAACCAACTGAGCCACCAGGTGCCCCAATTTAGGGGAATTTAAAAACAAAGTGGATCTAAAATTGTAAGCAATAACATGGAAGATAGGAGAGTAGAATCAGTTCATTCATTTTGAAGTCCTTGTATTATTTAGGAGGAGGCTAGAGCTATTCATTAACTTTAGTTTAAGTATGCAAGTTATAATTTAAGAATAATTGCCCAAAGAACAGAAATAAGTTGTATAACCCCCAAATAGGAAAAGAAAACATAAAACCATTGGTGTATACTTTGTGTGCTTGATACCTGGAGTGGATAATTTTTTAATATCACCCTCTTCTGTGATAAGTTATTTTCACTAATGATTATGAGATGAAACAAGTAATGATCAGAAAAGAAACAACTTTTGCAGATCCATCAGTGACTTCACAAAATGGGCCTTCTTTGCATATTCTTGTTCAATACCCAGTATACCAAATTGGTCAATTTATGTTAATTCATGGATGATCAAAGAAAGCTTTTTAAAGATTTTTATTTATTTATTTTAGAGACAGAGAGAGAGAGAACATGCCAGCAGAGAAGCACAAAGAGGGAGGGATAAAGAATTTCATGCTAACTCCAGGCTGAAGGCCGAGTCTAATGCAGGGCTTGATCTCAAGATCCTGAGATCATAACCTGAGTGGAAACCAAGAGTTGGGACGCTAATCCACTGAGCCATCGAGGTGCCCCTGATCAAAGAAAGCTTTTAATTTTAATTTTGAAAAAATTTTTTCATGTGAAACATGAGATGTATGTGTGTATAATAGTGTATGCACATGTATGTGAAATTAAAAAGAAGGCACATAGGATAAATTTGATAGTTTCATTGAAAACCTTGTTTCATAATAGATATCTGAAACTGTGGTGTTGACCATATATATATATTTTTTATTTTGATACCAATTCTAGTGGCTTTTAAAAAATACCTGTTTGGGGCAGCCGGGTGGCTCAGCAGTTTAGTGCCGCCTTCAGCCCAGGTCGTGATCCTGAGGACCTGGGGTCGAGTCCTGCATTGGGCTCCCTGCATGGAGCTTGCTTCTCCCTCTATCTGTGTCTCTGCCTCTCTCTCTCTCATAATAAATGAATAAAATCTTTAAAAATTAATAAATATTAAAAAATACCTGTTTTCACTATCTTGTCTTTTCTAGGAAAATACCATTTTGTAATATATTTGATAAAAACTTCTAAAGTTTTTTTTCTGTAAAAATCAGAAAAATGGCTAGATTATGGTAAATATTGTCATCAAATGCTCTGCTTTAGAATGTTTTTGGTGAGAACAATTAGGCATACAAACATTGCCCTTTTGAATTCTTCTGCCAACCTAGTCTTCTATCTTTTGTTTTTTCTCAAAGAATAACATTCAAAGAATAACAGAATGAGAGATACTCAAGTATTGTTTCTTTGTTTTAATATATCAGTTTGTTTTGAATCTGCTGCTTAAATGCAGAAATTTGTAGTACAGCAAGGATTGGAGATATGAAACTACACTTGAAGTAAGCTTGAATGACTCAAAACATTATCTGTAAACATACATATCAGTATTTTATGTGCATGTTGCGGTGCAGACCGTATGTCAGAGTATGTATGTGTGTGTTGTGGTGCAGACTGTATAACAGGAAGTTCTCTAAATTAACTTCAGGTAGGATACAATATTTATTGAAAAATAAAAGTATGCCAATTTGAAGATTTCATATATATTATCAAAACTGAGCACTAATCATAGTAAAAAACAAAATTCTAAACTGACATTTTAGAATTGCCAGCAAATGATGATAATGAAAAACACTCATCTTTGGTTGATTTTATTATTGTTTTAAGGTTCTTTACAGAAAATGCTCCCCCTTATTGTGTGTACCACTTCCATTGCAATGCTCTTAATATGCCATTGAAGAAGACTCCATCATTCCAGTAAAAGACAGGAAAGGAGAAAAAAGAAGTAGAAAAAAATCTTGGTAAATAAAGATAAGAAAATAAGGTGGTAGACATGAATACACATATATCAGTATTAACAATAGATGTAAGTGGACTAACTTGCCACTTAAAATTCTCAGATTAGATTAAAAAATTCGGGTATAATCTGTTTACAAATGATACACCTAAAATGTAATGACATAGAAGAGTTGAAAGAAAGAGGAATAGAATATAGCAGGAAAATACTAATTGAAAGATAACTGATTAATCTTATAAAATTAATGTAAGACAAAATAATTTTTAAGTCATAATTAGTCTAGTTAGCCAAATGAATGTCATTACTTAGTGGTAAAGGAAACAGTTTATTCTGGAAAATTTGGCATTCCTTAACCTCTGAATTTAACACATAGATTTAAAGCAAAATTTGACAGAATTGGGGATCCCTAGGTGGCTCAGTGGTTTGGCGCCTGCCTTCAGTCCAGGCATGATCCTGGAGTCCCGGGATCGAGTCCCACATCGGGCTCCCTGCATGGAGCCTGCTTCTCCCTCTGCCTCTCTCTCTGTGTGTCTATCATGAATGAATAAATAAAATCTTTTTAAAAAAAATCGACAGAATTAACAAGGAATAGACAAATCTACAATCATGATGAGAGATTCAGAAATTGTTAAGAAAACTAGTAAGAGTATAGTAGTGAACAATACAAATGCATATTTTTTTTTAACCGAACATATATAGAACACTTATCTAATATTTTCTTTTCAAGCGCATGTGGATAAATCAGAAGTAACAGGAAGGTCACATCTAGGTCACAACATTCTGTGACATGAGAAGGATGTACGTAATTATTTTGCATAGTTCACAGAGTTGGTAATATTTAATTTGATCATAAAATGTGAGAATATTGTGTAGTGAATGTTTGTGTGCCTTCAGAATTCATGTGTTGAAGCCCTAACCCCCCACTGTGGCTGCATTTGGAGATGAGACTATGGAAGTAATTCAGGTTAAATTAGGTCATAAGGATGGACTCTGATCTTGTAGGGTTAGTGTGCTTATGAGAAGAGAAACATGAGAGAGCCAGGTCTGCATATAACAAAGCAAGAAGGTAGGCATCTAACAAGCCAGGAAGAAAGCTCTCAACAGAATCCAAATTTGCCGACACCTTGATCTTGGACTTCTAGCCTCCAGAACTCTGAGAAAATAAATTTCTGATGTTTAAGCCATCTAGTTTGTGGTGTTTTGTTATGGTAGCCTGAGCTGATTAATGTAGGTTTGCAAGACTGACAAGAGGCTGAAGAACAAAAAAAAAAAAAAAAAAAAAGAGGCTGAAGAACAGTGAAGCCTGGGTGGCTTAGCAATTGAGTGTCTGCCTTCAGCTCAGGGTGTGATCCCAGGCCAGGAATCGAGTCCTGCATCAGGCTCCTCTTGAGGAGCTTGCTTCTCCCTCTGCCTACCTCTCTCTGTGTCTCTCATGAATAAATAAACAAACAAACAAACAAATAAAATCTTAAAAAAAAAAAGAGGCTGAAGAACGGAGAATGGAGAAAAAGAAGGGTGTCATGAACAGGAACAAAATTGCTGTAGCCAAAGCCCAGATGTATGCAAGTACATGTTATCGTGGTGAAGTATCATGTAATTAGTGCATGAAATATCATGTAATTAGTTTTATTAGGGGTAAATGGAAAGATGAGGCTGATGAGATCAAATCCAGAGATCAGTATGGAGTAGAGCAGCTTTCTGGAAGGCATGGAATTTGAATGAACCTTGTAGAGGGTTACATTTTAATGAGCATGGTGGGGTAGGCCACAACCTATTTGTGAAGAGTAAATGGCAGGAGCAAAGGCACAATTTACAGGGTTAGATTCTGGATGATGCAAAAATCAATTTACCTAGAATAGAAAGTTGATAAAGATGATCAGGCCTTTGACATAGAACTGATGTGTGAATAAACCCTAAATGCAGCTATGCAGAGAAGTAAAAGCATGCTTGGATATGGGACTTTGAAGCTTGTTTGTAAGCTTTGGCCTTTCATGGCTATAATTCAAGCATTTCAGGAGACTGAATAATGGTTTTCTGGGTGTGTGGGGTTTTTTTTGTTTTGTTTTCTGTTTTTCTTAAAGATTTTATTTGAGAGAGAGGGAGAGACTGGGAGAGTGAGCAAGCATGACCTGGGGGAAGGGCAGAGAGAGAAGGAGAAGCGGGCTCCCATCTCAAGCAGGCTTCCTGCTGAGCAGGGAGCCCAATGTGAAGCTTGATCCTAACCTGAGCTGAAATAAAGAGTCAGACGCTTAACTGACTGAGCCACCTAGGTGCCCCTGTTTTTTGTTTTTTTTATAAGATTATATATATTGAGTCTTTTTAAAGTTAATTATTAAGTCTTTTTATGGTGTGCCTTTTTTTTTTTGTCAACATAGTAAAAGAAAATGCTGATAATA